TTGCGCATGCCCGTGCAATGGCAATAAAGTACATTTTATTATTGATAGGCAATGCATTAAAAGGTGTACAGGTCACCAATTTATATTGACACAGGAGGTCTAGCACTAGAATTACTGCCCTCGATCTGATGTTCACGGCGATATCTCACATACATGGTGCAACCACTGTTTACATACCGGCATGGGGTCAACACTTGCGCACACAGGTGAGTGCACGCAGGGGGCAAGGGTGCTTTTTTTTTAGTTATTTTGATTTTTTAAATTATTTTTACACTGTTTCTTTAATTTTTTTTTTTGTTGATCATTTTTAACGCTATCACATGCAAATATCCCCTATAACTTCAATGGGCATTGTCATATATTCTTTTTTGAGAAATCTAGGGTCTATCAGACTCTAGATATCTCCTCTTCCCTTACATTATCTAAGCTCACCAAGATCGGTGTGATCAGATGCTTTCCCAATTTACAATATATTCTGCGAAACTGAAGTAATGAAATGCTCGTAGCCTCCGATTTCTTAGACTATAGAGATGATTGGAGTAATTCTGGACTCTGACCAGTTCTATGGTCAGCCAGCGGAACTGCCGGCTGCATTCCCGAATTCCCCTATGGGACAGGAGAGTCCAAGAAAACTGTGGAAGGCAGCAGGAGGGGTGTCCCATCCAGCTGCTCGTAAAAACAATTCATCAGCTAATTGGCCACTAGGATTGTTTTTACGTGAAAGCTGACCACCAGCTGAAAGAATCAATATCAGGTTGATGCCTGTAGCTGCAGGCATCATCCCGGTATAACCACTCAACGTTCAGTGATGTACCAGTACATTGCTGGGCCATGTTGTGCATATTTGTAACAGCATAGAACACAGGCATACAATGAATTGGCTTTGTGGTTCAGCATGACCGCAATTCATTCTTTTCCATAATGCCTATGTTGAGTGTTAGGCCCAAAAACGTTTTAAATTCAGAAACTCTGATAGGTTTCCATTCAAATTGCCTTGCAAGAGCTGAATTTGGGTAGGCGGCCATGTATTGTTGTGCATATAAATTGCCTTGGCCCACAATCAATTGATACAAATCTTCTGTGAAAAACAGCAGAGGGGCTAAACGCTAGTGCTGGCAGCGAACGGGGCCGATCCTGCTAACTCTGCGTTTTTGTGGACACTATACAAAGCAGGCACTAGTATAGTTCTGTTCATGATCAATATATTGATCCATACAAACTAGTAATGGCGGTGATCTATACCATGAGTGCGATAGTGTGTGGGCAATCTAACGCTAGCTGACCCTGGCTGGAAGAGATGCTAACTGACCCTGGCGCTATCTGATGTCGCTAGTGGGAGGAATACAGTGATCAGTGAAAAATTCTAAATACTGACACTGTACTAATGGCACTGTCTGGGTGATCAAAGGGTTAACAGGGGCGATCAAAGGCTTAAATGTGCTAATCTAATGCATGCGTGTAAAATGTAGTAGTTCTTTTACTCGGCGCCGTGTTCTCTCTTTTGTCCCTGGATCGAAGGGTGGGGGACATAGGTGCGTTCACACCCCAAAGTAGGAAGCAACGCATGTAGACAGTTGGCAAGTAGTTAAAAAAAAAACTATTAAAAAAAATTCTCAATATGGTATTTTTTTTTTTTTTTACATTTTTATTATTTTTTTTAATACTTTTATCAGAATAGTACAATGTTACCATAGCATTTTTTTTTTTTATTTTTTTTACACTTTGCTTTGCAGGAGAAATAAAGATAATTTCTCCTGCAATGCAAAGCTTGCTATAAGAACCTACAGCAACTCATTCATGAACTGTCATGAATGAGTTAAGTTCTGACAGCTCAGGATGGTGATCTGTGATAGGCTGGAACTGGTCACATGGTACAGGGTGCTGTGATTGGCCCCCATGTATCATGTGACAGCTGTGGGCCAATGACAGCTCACTAGGAAGAGAAGCAGAGCTGTTATGAATGACATTGATTCATAACAGATTTGCTTGCATACTGATCATGTGATCACATAGCAATCTCATGATCACTGTGCACCATTCCCCGGTTTCTTCGTTCTGCGATGTCCGCTGGACACAGCAGTCGCAGGTACGTCACTTTGACTGTAGCTGCTGCCCGGCCGCAGTACATTGCGGGCAGGCAGGTGGGCGGGAAGTGATTAAAGCATGTATCATTGTGTACAAATAAAGCGGAGATGTAGTGCTACACACAAGCATACAGTTGTGTTCAAAATAATAGCAGTGTGTTGAAAAAAGTGAATAAAGCTCAAAATCCTTCTAATAGCTTTTATTGCCATACACACAAATGCATTGGGAACACTACACATTCTATTACAAATCAAAACATGAAGAAAAATATATCAAATTTGTGTTGTTCCTCTAAAAAAAATTGAAGAAAAGTGAATATTAGACTGTTCAAAAAAAATAGTATTTGTATTCTTCTTTACAAACTCAAACATTCACTATATAAACTGAAAAATGTTTGAAGATTTGCTTTCCTTTGAATCACTTAATGAATATTTCATTGTATAAGCACTGTTTTCTGAGAACTGCTGTACATCTGTGTTGCATGGAGTCAACCAACTTCTGGCACCTGTGAACAGGTATTCCAGCCCAGGATGATTGGACTACATTCGTCTCTATATCTTGGTTTTGCCTCAGAAACTGTATTTTTGATGTAACCCCACAAGTTTTCTATTGGATTAAGATCCGGGGATTGGGCTGGCCATTCCATAACGTCAATCTTGTTGGTCTGGAACCAAGATGTTGCACGTTTACTGGTGTGTTTGGGGTCGTTGTCTTGTTAGAACACCCATTTCAAGGGCATTTCCTCTTCAGCATAAGGCAGCATGACCTCTTCAAGTATTCTGATGTATTCAAACTGATCCATGATCCCTGGTATGCAATAAATAGGCTCAACACACCGTAGTATGAGAAACATCCCCATATCATGATGCTTGCGCAACCATGCTTCACTGTCTTCACAGTGTACTGTGGCTTGAATTCAATATTTGGGGGTCATCTGAAAAACTGTCTCCGGCCACTAGATCCAAAAAGAACAATCTTACTTTCATCAGTCCACAAAATGTTGCGCCATTTCTCTTTAGGCCAGTCAATGTGCTCTTTGGCAAATTGTAACCTCTTCAGCACATGTCTTTTTTTTCAATAGTGGGACTTTGCGGGGGCTTCTTGCAGATAGCTTGGCTTCACATAGGCGTCTTCTAATTGTAACAGTACTCACAGGTAACTTTAGACCTTCTTTGATCTTCCTGAAGCTGATTGTTGGCTGAGTCCTTGCCATTTTGGCTATTCTATCCATTCGAATGGTAATTTTTCACTTTCTTCCACGTCTTTCAGGTTTTGGTTGCCATTTTAAAGCATTCGCGATCATGTTAGCTGAGCAGCCTATCATTTTCTGCACTTCTTTATATGTTTTCCCCTCTCCAATCAACTTTTTAATCAAGGCACGCTGTGCTTCTGAACAATGTCTGGAACGACCCATTTTCCTCAGAATTTCAGAGAGAAATGCACTGTAACCAGCATGTACATGTCAGGAATGGACTTGCCAATAATGGTGGGACTCACCTGCCTTGTGGGCTGCAGTACCAGGGCTGGCCAGCGGGTGCTCTCAGCAATCAGAGACTCACCCCTGCAGTCAGCCAAACACCTGAAGCTGATTGCAGGGGTTGTATTTAAGGAATGGCCAGACTCACAGTCAGGGCCTTGGTGTGTGTTTTTCCATGGGCCCCTGTATCTTGTATCCTGTGTTCCTGTTCCTGTTTCTGCCTGACTTGTTGCCGACCCTGCCTGATCCTGAACTCTGCTGACTTCTGTTTGATCCCTGGCTTGTGACCCTGACCATTCTCTGCCTGACCCTCTGCACCGCGCTGCCCGTGATTTACTGAACCCAGCTTGTGACCCCGACCACTCTCCTGCCTGTTCCTGGTACTCCGTTTGCCCGTTTGCTACTGACCCGGCCTGCCTGACGACTCTTGCATTGTATGTATTGTTATCTGTAGGTGGTTTGGTTTGTTTGCACTGTGTTTATGTTTAGTTTTGCACTGCGTTTTGTATTGTTAGTCTTAATAAATCATATTGTTTATACCATATCTGAAGCCTGCATTTCCCTGTGTCAGTCCACACACCTCTGGTCATACCCGGAGCCCTGACATTACACAAGGCCAATCCTGACCAGAAGTGGCTGCACAGGGAAGCCATCTTGGCTTATTGTTGCTGGGTAGGATGGATCTTGATGAGGTGGTGTATTTATCTCTGCTAGTGTTTGATGACAAAGACTATGCTTATCAGACTCTGAAGGAGTATACCAGGGATCAACTACTAGAGTGTATTAGGATCGCTCATTGCCTAGTAGATCAGGGCACAGAGTTTTCTTAGGTGCAGCCATTGATCCAGGTTTGTGCTGAGTTGGCTCGGTCCTGTACCCCCTGAAAGCAGGAATGACTTTTTTCCCCCATTTAGTGTGGATCAAGTGGAATCACTGGTATGGTTGTTGGAGGATGATCCAGATTGCTTCCATGAGCATTATGCAGCTTGTCCATCACATGTGCTTATGGATTGCATAAACGCAGTGCAGTCTTTGATCAGACAGGCTATATGTAAGCTGAGTTTTGTTCAACCAGTACTGCAGACATAGACAGATTTGTTGCACCCAGCCTCAGTCTGCTTGCAACATCATTCCTCTGCTCAAGGCACTCTTCCTACATCCCCGACAGCACCCCCAGTGATGGCCCAGTATACTCTGCTAACTACCACATACCAGTCCCCTGCTCCCACTTGCTGCACCTATCCTTTCTTTAACCCTGTAAAGAAGTCCTCTGTAGCAACTGCTCCCTCCTCTGTTCCATCCTCCAGCTCTTCTCTGTCTTTAGCTGCTCCATTCGTTTACAGACCTGCGTTTACTTACAGTGCTCCAGTAACTAAAACCAGAAAAAAGCGAAAATTCTTTCCAACCAGTACCATCCTGCCAGTATCCAAACCGGTCAGCCTGCCGTCTGAGAACCCACCTTCCGTGGTTCAGCCTGGTGCCTCTGCACCTGCAATTCAGCCTGATGTCTCTACCCAACCTGATGAACTGATCCAGCCTAATGATCCTATCATGCCAGGTGACTCGGTGCCCGCTTTCATGCATAGTGACCCAATGCCCGCTGTCGAGCCAGACGATCCAATGCCTGATGACCCAGTGCCCACTGTCATGCCTGGTGACCCGATGCCCGCTGTTGAGCCAGACGATCCAATGCCTGATGACCCAGTGCCCACTGTCATGCCTGGTGACCCGATGCCCACTGTCTTGCCAGATGACTCGGTGCCTGCTGTCCAGCCAGACGATCCAATGCCTGATGACCCAGTGCCCGCTGTCATGCCTGGTGACCCGATGCCCGCTGTCAAGCCAGATGATCCAATGCCTGATGACCCAGTGCCCACTGTCATACCTGGTGACCCAATGCCCGCTGTCGAGCCAGATGACCCGATGCCCGCTGTCATACCTGGTGACCCGATGCCTGCTGTCGTGCCTGGTGACTCGGTGCCCACTGCCTTGCCAGATGACTCGGTGCCCGCTGTCGAGCCAGATGACCTGATGCCTGGTGACCCGATGCCCGCTGTCGAGCCAGACAATCCAATGCCTGATGACCCAGTGTCCGCTGTCATGCCTGGTGACCCGATGCCCACTGTCATGCCTGATGACTCGATGCCCGCTGTCAAGCCAGACGATCCAATGCCTGATGACCCAGTGCCCGCTGTCATGCCTGGTGACCCGATGCCCACTGTCTTGCCAGATGACCCTATGCCTGATGACCCAGTGCCCGCTGTCATGCCTGGTGACCCGATGCTCGCTGTTGAGCCAGATGACACGGTGCCCGCTGTCGAGCAAGACGATCCAATGTCTGATGACCCGGTGCCCGCTGTCGTACCTGGTGACCCGATGCCCGCTGTCGAGCCAGATGACCCGGTGCCTGATGACCCGGTGCCCGCTGTTGTGCCAGTTGATTCAGAGCCCGCGGTCTTGCCAGATGACTCGGTGCCCGCGGTCTTGCCAGATGACTCGGTGCCCGCGGTCTTGCCAGATGACTCGGTGCCCACCGCCCCGCCTGGGGGCCCGGTGCCTGCCGCTCCGCCTGGTAATCCGGCGTCCAGCCCGATGTGCCTCTGTCCGGCGTCCAGCCCGATGTGCCTCTGTCCGGCGTCCAGCCCGATGTGCCTCTGTCCGGCGTCCAGCCCGATGTGCCTCTGTCCGGCGTCCAGCCCGATGTGCCTCTGTCCGGCGTCCAGCCCGATGTGCCTCTGTCCGGCGCACCGGCCGTTACCGGACCCGGGCGGTGGAACATTTTGCCCAGCTAGGACTGTTTGGAGCGTCCTGAGGCCGCTCCTTGAGGGGGGTACTGTCAGGAATGGACTTGCCAATAATGGTGGGACTCACCTAAATAGAAAAGATAGTCTCCTGCGCCACAATGTGGATGTAAATGATTGAAGCAGCCTGTATTAGTAGTGCCACAGCCACAGCACCAAAATCAACAACTAGATATAAAACCAATTAATACGGCGCTAAGCTAGCAAACTGGGATACAGGATATACAATATAATATAAAATAACTGACATATATAGGGGGTGAAGTGGACAGCTATGAGAATAACATGCATGAAGGTGAGCATAAAGGTGAAAATTGTCCTTAATGGATAAAGTGAATAGTGTCCTTAGTGGGTCACACAGACTTCATGCAGGTGTGAGCCGCAATGTGCCAATCCTCTAAGGCTGGGGTGCCCCCTCACCTTCCTGCTCAGGCCCCCAGGGACCAGAGAGCTTATAATGGTCACTGTAATGATCCTGCTGGTCGGTGGATCCTGCTGGTAATAGTGATGTCACTCACTCCTCCTGGTAGGTCTTAGCATGGGATAGTAACCTCAGCCCTTGTTCATGCCCGTGATGTCTCTCCAATAAAGGCTCTCCAGTACGGTCACCAGTGAGGCAAGAGAGACTTACATAGTGTAAAACCTTTTATTAAAATATAAAAGCAACTAAGAGCCTACTTACACGGGACTGAATATAAGCAGGCCTTTACACCTCTCCAAGGGTGTACTGTGTTCAGGACTTGGAGCACCAAGATGGCGTCCACGCCGGATGTGACGTCAAGCCGTCGATCGTAGGAAGCTCCTCCCACTGGTGTATCTACGCGTTACGTCACTCAAGCACGTGACTTCATCAGGATATACGCCTACTAGCGGTGGAGCTTAATTTATTGGTCGGTTAGCCAATCAGCATTGCTAATGGGCGGTGCCGGCCGCCATTGAAGTGAAGTAAAATGAGGGGGACAATCTTCTAGGTATCTTGGTGGCAATCAAATCTCAAACCGAACGATCGTATCGAAAGTTATATATAGGGTGGATATAAGTGTAGGTGGATAAAGATAATTCAGGTGCAAGCTCCGATAACGAAGTTAGGCAACCTAAGGCGGCACTCTAACCTCAGCAGCCACCATATAATAACAAAAGGTAATATAAAAATGTAAAAATAATAATAAAGGATAAACAGTTTTGGGGTAGACAAAATTTAAATGGAATAGAAAATTTAGGGGGATCTATTGTAAATCAAAAAGAACCCCTAGTAATATCTGTTCACTAAGGATGACTAGGTATATAAAATATGTATATAAAAACCGAATCGCCCATATATACAGTACACCATAGGGTTGGTCAATGACCATAACATGAAATTATAATTAACAATACAGAGCCTAATGCAGAATATAGAGGATAATAGGGGCCTGATTTAATAATTGCTGATGAAGCAATTCAGGTCGAATTCAACGTTGAGGCCCCTCGGGGCTTTTGACCTCAAAAGGAAAATCCATTTGGATTCCATTTGGCTAATAGATCTCACTTTATTGCTCCCCCTCCAGTGTCTTTTATATTTTTCTATTGCCCAGAATTTAAGTTTGGAGGGGTCATTATGATGGTGGGTGGTGAAATGCCTGGGAACACTGTGTTTGGTGTGGCCCTTTTTTATATTTTGGATATGTTCCCTAATCCTCTTCCACATGGGCCTCTTAGTTCGTCCCACGTATTGCAGCCCACACTCGCACTGGAGACAATATACTACCCCCTCTGTATGACATGTAATAAACTCCTTGATGGTATATGTCATTCCTGTAGTGGTTGCTTGGAATTTCTCTCATTTTCCTATTGGTTCCCTTTATGGCCTTACAGGCGTAGCAGGTCTTGCACGGGTAGAAACCCTTTAGATCAAAAAGTGTATTGCTACGGTTAGTCTGAGGGGGGGTCGATCACATTTTTGACTATACTAGTTCTAATGCTGGGGGCCTTCCTATATATAAACAGTGGTTTGGCGGGTAGGGCTTTCTCTAAGTGAGGATCCGATTGGAGGATAGGCCAGTACTTCTTAAATATTTTCTCAATTTTCTTATAGTGCATGTTGTAATCTAAAATGATAGATACACGGTCATCTAGATGTGCCTCCTTATTCTTATCTGCCAGTAATTGGGTTCTGTCCATTTTCCCCACTTCTTCAATTTTTTTAGAAATGAGATGTTTACTATAACCTTTTTGTTCGAATCTATCCCCTAGCTTTTGGACCTGGTTGTTATAATCCTCTATCTCGGTACAGTTTCTCCTTAAACGAATGAACTGACCCTTGGGAATATTCAAGAGCCACTTGGGATAGTGACAGCTGTCCAGCGCAATGTAGCCATTCCGGTCAACGTTTTTAAAATAAGTAGTGGTAATTAATCTGTTTCTTTTGATTGCAATATTCAGGTCCAAGAAATGAATGGACTCTTCACTGGTTTCCCATGAGAGTGAAATATTTTGGTCATTGGAGTTAAGTGTTTGTAAGAATAACTGCAAGGAGGTCTCATCACCCCTCCAAAAAATTATCACGTCATCTATATAGCGTTTGTATAACGCCAACTCCTTAGGTGTTTGGAAGTAGATGGAATAATGTTCCCAATGGGCCATAAACAGGTTAGCCACGCTCGGGGCAAAACGGGCACCCATGGCAACCCCTCTTGTTTGTTTGTAAAATTGGTGTCCATGCCAGAAATAGTTGTGAGTGAGGCAAAAATCTAGACAGTCAATAATGTACTTCTGCTGTTTCACTTGTAGATTACTATATTTATTCAGACCCCAATTTGTAGATGAAATTGCATTATCATGGTCAATTATGGTGTATAAAGAGGAGACATCAGCAGTGGCTATTCTTAGATTGTCCGTATTCTGGATGGTATCAAGTAGCTGGATCAGATGTTTAGTGTCCCTAAGGTAAGCACGTGTCTCTTTGACTAAGGGTTGTAAAAAGATGTCTACATATTGTCCCAATCTGGATAGGATAGAATCGATGCCGTTCACTATAGGCCTCCCTGGGGGTTATGGAGGTCCTTATGGATTTTAGGGACTAAGTAAATGACCGGTATCCTACATGTGTCAGGCACAAGAAATCTTGCTTCTTTTTTTTTATTTAGGATCTTATCCTGCTTTCCTTTATTTACCAAGGACTCTAATTCTTGTTTATAGTTGGCGGTAGGGTCCTTTTGTAAGATTTTATATGTGGTAGTGTCTGCCAATTGTAGATTCAATTCCTTCAAGTACTGGTCTTTTGATAGGACTACTATCCCACCTCCTTTGTCAGCTGGTCTGACCACTATGTCTTCCCGCTGGGATAATTTCTTTGTACCCATTTGTATCAAATTATTACCATGTAAATGTGGTAATTTAAGTTTCTCTATATCTTGTTGTAGCATCTTTTTAAATACTTCAATTTGGTTGTTTCTACTTATCTGTGGGTTGAACAGTGATTTATTCCTCAAATCGGTATGTATATATTGGCTGACCCCTCTGTTAGTATTATGTGCGTTGCCTGGTATCCCTGCGAAGTGTTTTTTAATGTTGAGTTTCCTAGTAAACTTCAACATATCTACATAGATACTAAATTTATTAGCAGGTTTAGGTGGGGCAAACTTAAGACCTTTATCTAATACTTCTAGTTCTTCTCTAGAGAGATCTGCCCCACTGAGGTTGAAAACTCCAACCCCTAATGGTCTCTTTTTCTTTTTTTCTTTTGCTCCTGCTCTGCAGCCTCTGCGTTTCTTGGAGGGCTCCTCCTTCTTTCCCTTTCTGGGCTCTCTACTGCTCTGCCTCTCTCTAAAAAATGGTTGTTGTGGTCTTGGGGGTAGTCATATCTGATTGGATCATACCGATTATGCATCGGGAGTGGACTCCTTACATTATAGGACTGATAGTAGTTCCTATCGTTTATTATAGTAGCCTTGGTCCCTATTAGGTGGTCTGTATGGGCGATCATTTGGGTACTGGTTAGGTCTAGGGGGATACTGAGGTCTGTATTGTGGATATTGTTGATATTGTGGTCTCCACTGATTGCCATAGTTAGTCCCATTAGGTCTATTATATGGTGGCCCTTTATTTTGAGGGTTCCCTTTACCACTTGGGGTACGGTTATTTTTCTGGTGCTCCTGTGTGCTGTTGCTTTTTCTATTGGCTTGCGATGTGATACCTGGTTTAGGGGCAGGTTTGGTTTCCCTTACCGGGGATGTATTGGCTAAGGTCACTGTTGTGGAATTCAGGTTGTCTTGCCATTTGAACACCTGATCCTTTCTAAAGTCACTAAGATCTCTTTGATATTTCTTAGTTTTTCTATGTTTAATTTCCTGTTCTGCTTTTTCTAGATCCTTATTTAGATGGTGACTAAGTCCTACCATTTCTTGCATCTCCTTAAATGGTTCTATTTGAATCTTAATCTCATCTATGGATTTTCTCTAAATTACGCATTTTCTTTTGTTTTCTCTTAATTAGAAATCAAATGAATTCCAGGCCTTTTTCATGGAAGATGATTGCCACCAAGATACCTAGAAGATTGTCCCCCTCATTTTACTTCACTTCAATGGCGGCCGGCACCGCCCATTAGCAATGCTGATTGGCTAACCGACCAATAAATTAAGCTCCACCGCTAGTAGGCGTATATCCTGATGAAGTCACGTGCTTGAGTGACGTAACGCGTAGATACACCAGTGGGAGGAGCTTCCTACGATCGACGGCTTGACGTCACATCCGGCGTGGACGCCATCTTGGTGCTCCAAGTCCTGAACACAGTACACCCTTGGAGAGGTGTAAAGGCCTGCTTATATTCAGTCCCGTGTAAGTAGGCTCTTAGTTGCTTTTATATTTTAATAAAAGGTTTTACACTATGTAAGTCTCTCTTGCCTCACTGGTGACCGTACTGGAGAGCCTTTATTGGAGAGACATCACGGGCATGAACAAGGGCTGAGGTTACTATCCCATGCTAAGACCTACCAGGAGGAGTGAGTGACATCACTATTACCAGCAGGATCCACCGACCAGCAGGATCATTACAGTGACCATTATAAGCTCTCTGGTCCCTGGGGGCCTGAGCAGGAAGGTGAGGGGGCACCCCAGCCTTAGAGGATTGGCACATTGCGGCTCACACCTGCATGAAGTCTGTGTGACCCACTAAGGACACTATTCACTTTATCCATTAAGGACAATTTTCACCTTTATGCTCACCTTCATGCATGTTATTCTCATAGCTGTCCACTTCACCCCCTATATATGTCAGTTATTTTATATTATATTGTATATCCTGTATCCCAGTTTGCTAGCTTAGCGCCGTATTAATTGGTTTTATATCTAGGTGGGACTCACCTGCCTTGTGGGCTGCAGTACCAGGGCTGGCCAGCGGGTGCTCTCAGCAATCAGAGACTCACCCCTGCAGTCAGCCAAACACCTGAAGCTGATTGCAGGGGTTGTATTTAAGGAATGGCCAGACTCACAGTCAGGGCCTTGGTGTGTGTGTTTTTCCATGGGCCCCTGTATCTTGTATCCTGTGTTCCTGTTCCTGTTTCTGCCTGACCTGTTGCCAACCCTGCCTGATCCTGACCTCTGCTGACTTCTGTTTGATCCCTGGCTTGTGACCCTGACCATTCTCTGCCTGACCCTCTGCACCGCGCTGCCCGTGATTTACTGAACCCAGCTTGTGACCCCGACCACTCTCCTGCCTGTTCCTGGTACTCCGTTTGCCCGTTTGCTACTGACCCGGCCTGCCTGACGACTCTTGCATTGTATGTATTGTTATCTGTAGGTGGTTTGGTTTGTTTGCACTGTGTTTATGTTTAGTTTTGCACTGCGTTTTGTATTGTTAGTCTTAATAAATCATATTGTTTATACCATATCTGAAGCCTGCATTTCCCTGTATCAGTCCACACACCTCTGGTCATACCCGGAGCCCTGACAGTACAACATTTGCTGCCTTCCTTCCTTAAATAAGGGCAATAATTGCCACCTATTTTTCAAAGAATGAATGACCTCACTAACAGAACTCCACACTGCTATTATTTTGAACATGCCCCTTTCAATTAGTGATTCAATTACACAGAATCAGCAGCATGCATGTCATGACTGTTGGGTCTGTTGGATTTCTATTACTCTACTACACCTGCTAGTCAATTATTTGCCATGTAGAAATATCATTTCTACCAAAAACAGTGATTGATCAGGTTAGTGATGTCTGACTGCTATTATTTTGAACACAACTGTATGAGGGAAGTTCAAGTCAAACCAGGAATTTTGAGTTTATGCATAAAAAGAACAAATTTCAAGGAGTGGAAACTGCATTTATTTTATGATATACCCCCGCTGCTACATTTATACACGTATCCTGACTAATGCCTGGAAAGCTTCAGCATATAAAGATTTGCCAGTACGCCTGAACCATCCTAGGACAGCCTGCTTCACTGTGTCATCAGTGCTGAAATGCTGACCTCCGAGGAACTCTTTTAGAGGTCCAAACAGGTGGAAATCACTCTAAGCGAGGTCCGGGCTGTAAGGGGGATGTGGCAATACCTCCCAGCTGAGCTCCTGTAATGTGCACGTAGTGCAGTGAGCAGCATGAGCTTGTGAGTTGTCCTGGAGAAACAGGACACCCTTAGTGATCAAACTAGGCCATTTTTCCTTCAGACTCGTATGCACATCGCTCAGAACACAACAGTAATATTCATTGTGGATAGTGGCACCACGGGGTAGAAAATCCACATTTTTGCATGCACGCACTAACACTTTTGTCTGCCATCTTGATTTATGGTCTCTGGACTGGCCCGCGACATGTGTGTTGCCTATCAGAAGTAGGACACACTTACTGCCGCCATCCTAGCATCCCTTTTTATACCTGTAAAATGAAAAGTCCCAGTTTGATTGGAACGTCCCTCTTGTATATACTGTACATACACTGTGTGTGTGTATGAAAGAGAACGACTACCATTCCCCATAAGACTATGTTAAGTAATGTTTTTTTTTAAATGCAGTAAATAATGTATGCTAATAGCATTGTGTATCGCTGTCAACCAAGATTTTGGCTGAACCCAATTGTCTGTATAATAAATAATACAGAACAAGGTTGAAAGTGGAAATACATACTAAAAAGCTTTTAATATGCATTGCTATGCATTGTATGTTGTATTGTTTGTGTTCTGATATTATCAAAAAATCCACTTAACCTAATGTCTAGATGAAAGTAAAGAGAAAATTAAAAGCAGGTCCTAGTAATATGTACGTGTTCAATGGCTCAATAGTCTTGTTTTCTTATTTTCCCATGGAAATCACTTACAAGGACACGGAATTGTTAGAGCTTCAGCATTTGTTATTTGACTCGATTAGACTTATAAAGACTATTTTTAAAACTATATATACTATAGCAAACAATACCTAATTGTTTGGCTACCAGAGACATCTGCAGGAGATAACAATCAATTTTTTTCAAGAATGAACAAAATGAAAACAGTCTCTAGCAGTGTCAGTTATAGAAAAAAATCCTGTCCACTACAAAATTGATTCTTAAAGTACAACTACAGCCAAAATGTTTAATTTTTTTTTTAAGTTTAGTCTCTATTGGAAGATATTCCCATTAGTTCAGTTCTAGCAGCAACCAGATACCACCTTACTTAAAGAGATAATGGTCCCAAAAACAAATAGAGAGAACTATTTTCTCCAAAGTAGATAAAGACATTAACAAAATCCTGACAAAGGTTCCAGTTCATCACCGTATCCAAACATAGAAAAAAAGGTTTTGGACAAAGTTATACTTTAAATTCTAACCACTTAAAGGTCCAATGGTCCTTTGAAATCCCTTTAAAAGGAAACATGTACTGAAAGAAAAATAGAGGTTGCCATTACCTATTTGCTCCTGAAAATGCTAGTTGCCTGGCTGTCACTGACTTCAACATAAATCCTGAAATGTATGTCAGCATCAATGATTTTTCCTGCATCCCTAACATTCCACTGTAGTCTGTCTTGATCTGGTTTGCAGTCAAACCAAGCCACACAGTACATAGCAGTCAAACCATGCTACAAACTGGAACAGTAACTCTTGGGGGTAGAAGAGAAAATGAAGGAAATACATCCTTTGCTTAGACTTCTTGAGAATTGTGTCAGACAGATTGCCTGAGGCGCAGTACTATGAAGGGAAAACAATAGGGGGGAGAGCACACATCCTTGGGGGTTGGAGGAGCTGATGATATTTTTTCTAATAATAGATGAAATCTACCCCAACTTCCCCCACTGTCTCCTACACATCAATAAGTTGGTAAACCACTGACAGATCAAGGGTGGGCTCACCAAGCTGTTTAAGTTTAAAACAATGAAATATAGAGGAATCATAGTGTTGAACACTGAACTAAAGTCCACACATAGGGTCTGAGCATGCCACCCTGGGAAGTAAAGATTCTGCATGATTTAATTCTGACCCATATTGACAGACTCCTCTACAGACTTGTTTGCCCTATAGGAAAACTGCAGGGGGTCCAGCAGTGACCCTGTAATGCCCCTTAGGTGAGTCAACAATAACCTCTTAAAAGACCTCATGACCACAGGAGTCAGAGAGACAGGTCTGTAGTTGTTTAGTACTGTGATGGTATATTTCTCAGGAACAGAAATAATTATTGAATGTTTTTAAAACAAGTAGGAACCTTACACAGCTCTAATGGTCTATTGAATATCCATGTAAAGATGGGTACCAGCTGGTCAGACCCTCAAAAAGGAAGATGTTACACCATGCCTGCGTCTGAAAAATCTAAAACACATTCTGTTCCCAAATCCTCAATGAATGGGAAAGAATTTAGTAAAAGGAGACATTTAAAGATGACCAAGACAAAGGTATACCGTTCTCCTGGCAACCGTCAACCCAGATACGTCCATCAGATTGCCAGACAGACAAGCATTATTCGTCACTCCAGAGAACACGTCTCCACTGCTCTAGAGTTCAGTAGCGGTGTGCTTTACACCACTGCATCCGACACTTTGCATTGCACTTGGTGATGTACGGCTTGGATGCAGCTGCTCGGCCATGGAAACCCATTCCATGAAGCTTTCTATGCACTGTTGGTGTGCTAATCTGAAGGCCATATAAAGTTTGGAGGTCTTTAGCTATTGACTCTGCAGACAGTTGGCGACTTCTGCGTACTGTGCGCTTCAGCATGCAGCGACCCGCTTTGTCATTTTATGTGGCCTACCACTTCACGGCTGAGTTGTTCCCAGTTGCTTCCACTTTGTTACAATACTACTAACAGTTGACCGTGAAATATTTACTAGCAAGGAAACTTCACAGATGGACTTATTGTACAGGCGGCAACCTATCACGGTACCACACTTGAATTCACTGAGCTCCTGAGAATGACCCATTCTTTCACAAATGTTTGTAGAAGCAGTCTGCATGCCTAGGTGCTTGATTTTATATACCTGTTGCCATGGAGGTGATTTGAACACCTGAATCCAATGATTTGAAGGGGTGTAACAATACTGTTGGCAATACAGTGTATATGTAAAGTGCTTCGTAAATTGATGGCGCTATATAAGTACCTGTAATAAATAAATAATCCAGGACTTGCTATAATTAACTGTTTGAAAATACTTAGTGAACACCCACACATCCTCACAAAAGCTATCAGTATTCTTGTTCAGGTTTCTAGCTGCAGCCTCAAAGACACTCCAATTAATACAATGAAAACAGGATTGTAACCCCAACTTTGACTCATTGGTCCATCTCTTCACAGGCTTAACAGATTTAAAATTTTGCCTGTAGGTTGGAAGAAGATGAACCATACAATGGTCAGAGAGATCCAGAGCTGCACTGGGAAAAAACGACAAGCGCCTTTTATTATAGTATAGCAATGATCCAATATATTTTTGTCCTTAGTGGGGCATGTAACATTTTGCCTATATTTTAGCAGCTTATAACTAAGATGTACTAAATACCAAAATTGTGCCGCGCTTCACTCAAAATTACTAAATGTAAATCATATGTGCATTCTAGAGCTGCTATTAATAGTAAGTATCAAAGTGCTAAAGTAAAATAAGCAGAATAAGTGAATCAATCAATGTCAATTTCCAGAAACAAAGTGCATACATATGAAAAAGGTCAGAAAAAAAGTTACTTTCAAACGTGCATAGTTCACTTGGAAAAAATAAAAAATTATAAAATATCACATGCTTCTTTAATTGATAAATTTGTGTGAAAAAACTTGCATAAGCGTGCTCTCCCACCGGTTGTGCTCTCACCCAGGGGCGGACTGACAACTAATGGGGCCCCCGGACAATAGGGGATCATGGTGCCCCTGTGTGTCCATGCCCACACTCAAAGCACACCCAAAAAATCCTATAAAAAGGTACCAGGGGCAGTTCGGGGGCCCCCTACTGACCCCAGGCCCTCGGGCAGTGCCCAAGTGTTCGAATGGTCAGTCCCGCCCTGC